GTTCTCCTGCTTTGCTGGAGTGCCTGTGTTCAGATAACACAGCCAACTTAGATTTGGATCAAGTCATCAGAATGTCTGAATGCAGACTCAAAACACAGCAGGTTTGGAACACGTAAGCAGTTGCCTCTCACAAAAGGAACACAGATAGTTGAACTTGCTGTTTAAACCATGAAGTGACGCCGTATGGGATAGCTGTCATTTAATTAAATCTCTTCTGTCACATTTTGAGAAGAACAGACAGAGCAGGCAGTGGTGTAAATAAAGATCTTGAAAAGAAGAGAGGTCAACAAAACCTGAAGGAACTATGTACTGTTTAGGTCTAGAACAACAAATCTCTCCAACTTCTCGTCTTCAGGAGACCCTTTCTGCATTGATTCCTCTACCGAAGACCTGCTGCATATCTGCCAAGGAACACTTGTGTGCTGCAGAGGATTTGGGGCCACAGTTAAGGATGTCCTGGCTCTCCTTTCATATAGGATACAGGTCAAACCTATGGGATCTCACCACTGACCTGTTCAACTGGAACCAGGATTCCTAGGATGCACCAAACACTCTCCTGTGACGTCACGCTGAAGCGGTTTGGCAAAGGAGCTCCTTCCTGGGAAGCTTGCGACAGAAAACCAGAGAAATGCCCAGCAGATACCACCACATCACAAGTTAGATTGTCAGTTTCTCCAGCCCAAATGACTGGCAGCAGCTCACCAGGCAGAAAAATCCCCTTTCCCCTGTAACCGGACATTGTTTTTAACTAGAGGCACCCGGGACTGAATCATGGATGCAGAGGTATGGACTTCGTTTACATATTACCATTAAAGACCACTTGCTGGCTGGTCTACAGAGTCCAAGGATGGCACACAAGCTGATAAGACGGGATACAGAAGGAAAGAAGGGTGGGGAAGGACAAGAATGGCAGACATTCAGATACTGGCTCCCTACTAGCCAGGCAGACTGGCTACTGCAGGGACAATTACGGGAGGGGAGTCTGGAAAGGGCAGATGGGTCCCAGGCAGACTGATGGGGAAGGGGGCTTGTCATCCTCCTGCAGAGACTTTAGGATTCTTTGAACCTGACTCTACAGAGCCGACCCTTCTATGCCACACGGGAAACCAGACTAAAGCACACAATCAGAAGTGATTTGCTCCAGACACACAACTCCAGGGGAACTCTTTAACTCCTAGCTATGCTGATGTGATATGGTAGAGAACACCACCTATTCAGACGCATCTCTTCCAGACTGAGGCACCAGCATTTGGTTGGACATACATGAAACCCCACATATCCCACCAACGTGAAGACTCAAAGCCCGGGCAACCTTTAACCAAGCAAAATTCAGAAAACTGAGTGACCGTCTCATCCAAGGCACAGAAAGCCAGTCTTTGATGGAGAAATGCTGGCCTGCCTGAGGTTAATTCCCCTAAACTAATCCCAGCCTTTTGCGTCAAACTCAAAGTAACCCTTCAAACAAGAAATTAACACAGAAGAACAAAATCACCGTGTGCCCAAATACTCTGAATTTCAAGAGCTCTCCATTTGCAGATTTGCAGATGCGGGCAGAGTGGCATTTTAAAAAATATTCAGACTCAATATATCTTAATTCTGTGAATTGTTGTGTGGGAGCTATCAAGCTTTGCTCCTAGAGGGAAGGCTTCAGAATACGTTTGGCAGCCCACCTGGAGAAGGGGGTAGGAGCGAGAACAGAATTCTGAATATGTGGCTTGTGTGATATGCTCCACATAACCTGACCCCCTACTCCCCCATCTTAGTATTTTTTTTTTCAAGGCACTTCAATATTGCTTATCCAGTCAGGTAACAGAACCCCAAATGCTGAGCTTGGGCCTGCCCTGTTTATCGCACTAGTGACAAACCTCAGAGAGTTTTGCAAAGCAAGTGTTGGTGGAACCAAACACCAGTAGGTCATGGGCCTTAATGATGGGAAATATGTGAAAACACAAACTAAACAAACAAAACACACACTTCCTTTTCTTTTTGACTGCACCTGCATCCTTGTGTCTACCTGGGATAGAAAAAAATAAATTGGGCCGTGAGATCTGTACATAAATTACTTGAAAGTCAGAAAATCTCTTCCTTAAACAACTCCGAAGCTCGGCTGACAAAGACGGCAAGTAGGGCAGTTTTTGCTGAGCGTGGACACTAAAGTCCTGTGTGCATGGGGACTTCCTGTTTTAAACAGAAAGCTGGGGTTTCTCTGAGGCATGCCATAGAGGGATTCTCAGCTCACAAGCCCTGTTCCATCACACACTCGAGTTACCTGCCCAGGTGCCATGTTGGAGCTGATGGAAACATGATTTTCGTCTTATGTGTTTGTGACAGAATGGCAACTTGCTCGGAAAAGGAGGTTATGTCTAGGACGTCAACGGGAGACTCAGTGGTACTGCAGCAGCAGTGCTCATCGAGGGTACTTGATGCTTGATGGCAAAGCTTGATGGCCTCCCTTGTTTGCAACCATAAACAATGACAATGCTGCCACTATTTTTGAAAGTTTTCCTCCCCAGGTCATGCTAGAATCAGCCAGTAGCACTCTGATTTCTTTCCTTCTTCTTCTCTTTTTCTTTTTTTAAAAAAATGCATCACAGGCTAACATTCAGACCCCCAAAGCAGAAGCGGTAAAAGCAGCCCTGCCTTTCCAGCCTCCTAGAGCCTTTGTTCTGAGCCATGAAAAGGCATTTTTTTTCCTTTTAAAGCAACTGACCTCTTACAATCTGTGACGATTGGAACTCTGTTGTCACGCTTTGAAGAGAGACTGCAGAACCAAAGATGCTATTTCTTTTCCTTTTTAAAAAAAAGGTGGCTTTACATTTTAGGGTCCGGGGGGGGGGGGAGTCTTACTAAAAATCCATATAAAAAAGTAAATAGCAGTTAGAACTTAAGTAATGAATGCACCATTAAAAGTGTCATCAGATGTTGACCTAAGACAAAAGCTTTTTCTGTGATACACAATACAGTCCAAAACAAACAAAGCAAAAAAAAAAAACAACCAGAAAGAAGAATTGCCCATCAACAATATACAGTCTGACAACTACATCTTGTAAATTATACCCAAATACTGCCGGCAGTCTATCCCTCTAAAGAATATTTTGCCCCCTTCCATCCCTTCCTAACAATCAGATAATAAAATACAGCACCTATAAATAAGCAAAAAAAATATATATATACCGAAATCATCTATTGTTAGTTTTTTTTTTAAGATATGGCAATAAAAGGAATCTAAGTCAGCAAAAACTTGTAGAAGTCATAGCTGATAAAACAGCTTATTGGAAACAGGTGGCAGCAAATGCACTCTATGCATGCACAAAATACGTAAGAAAATACAGACATATAAAATTGCATACACACACACACACCTGCACACACTCGTCCTTCCATGCGCCTCTATGCTCACGCATGTACACACATGTAGACAACAGGAGGCACTGGAGACATGTTGGAATCTGGACCGGTACTGTGATCAGCCTTTGGATGAGGTGACGATTCGGAGGGCAGCATGATGGCTTTAGAGGGGTGCCGACGTTTCCTTTGGGAGACTTGTGGTTTAAATTGGGATAATCAAGAGCTGTGTCCTCCCCCTTCCGCCACTGTTCCCTTCCCCCAACTGAAAGGTAGGGAAATCAGTGCTTGCTGAGGACCCAGAGTTCTTGATTAAGTAATTAAATGGTGAAAAAAAATTGGCCTCGTTCTTAACTTGGCGGCGGGTGAGATCCCTTAAGACACGCCGACAAGGAAGTACATTGCAATTGATAAGATTAGCTCCTATCAAGAGGTAAACCATTGAAAATGTGTCCCACTGCAAGGTATACCTCCACCCAATCTCTTTTCTGGTGGAAGCAGTAGCAGCCAACCACTTTTTCATCAAGTATTGGAAAAAAATTAGGTACGATGTAGGTGCATAAACAGCTACTCAAATTATTTTTTGTCCCCTTCGAAAGCTGGTGTTATCCCCCCCACCCCCTTATAGGGCAACAATAACTAGCATGGATACATATCTGATCTGGAAAAAAGTCTTGTGGACTAGTAACTTGCATGGACCCATTTGCAAGGCCATCAATCAAACCACTCAAACCGAAAGCGACCAAGTACGTCCCCCATTCCAAGTTGTCTCCCAAACCTCCTACAAATGAGGTCAGATCTGCGTGCTCTGTGGTTAGAGGTTAAAAAGCAGATTATAAAATACCTAGATTTCAGAATTATGTTTTTCTTCTTTTTTTTCCCTGTCCTGATTTGGCCTAAAATGGAGTGTATTAAACAAATCCCAGTCCATAAAGAGACCAGAATCGGTTAAAGCTATGAAACAATGTGCACTACAAGGTCAATTTTTCTATTCCACCTTACAAGGAAAAAAACACACTGAAGTCAGCTACCACAAATTAAGATATTTTTTTCCTGATGTGACTTTTTTTTTTGTTTAAAAAATATGTGGAGTAAATGTTTTTGTTTTTTTTTTAAATCCCAAGTTTCAAACAATATTCTTTTCTTGAAAATATTTAGGAATTCAAACTAGTGTGTTTAGAGTCTGGTTGACTGTGAAATCTCTTAGTGGCAACGGAACAGCTACAAAAAAACCTTTTTTTTTCCTTTCAAAAACCTTTCCCCTTCCAACTTTTTTCTTCTTCTCCCTGGTTCAAGAAGATAATAGTGTATTATCACTCAGTTTAGCCATTAGATGGCAGATAAAAAGCCCCCTTTTAAATAGGTGGGTTTGATTTTTTTTTCTCCGTGTTTTGTACAATTTTTTTTCCTGTTTGTTTTAAAGCCCACACCAAAGAGGAGGGGCAGAAGGCAAAAGCTGTATGAGTCGTCCCCCCCTCCCCCAAGAAACTGTGGAAATCACTTAAGGGCAATTAATAAAAACACTTCGGGGTACAAAAAAGCTCGACTACACATTTCAGTTTTCTTCCTCGAAAACACACGGGGGAAAAAAAACACAAACATAAACTGGGCTGAAACGCTCCTTTCGTTCGATATATGCACCTTGGCCTATGGCGTTTTTTTTTTTTTTTTTTGCCAGGTGGCCTGCAGGGCGGTAAGTGCGGGACACAATTAAAACCAGCAGAGGTCCAAGTTTTCACTTTCCCCAGCTCTTGAGAGTTGGGTGAGCGTAATCTCAAAACTCCCACTCGGCCGGCTCCTCTCGACTTGCGGCCTTCTCCAAGCGGTGGATTATGCTGTTCAAATTCGCTGCCTTCTTTTTCCTCAGGGTGTTGTCCCGTGCGTTCCTGGCACACGCCGCCTCGGGAAAGCCGAATAAGCTCTCGAGAGAGTTGGCTTTCTGAGTGCCGGCGGCGGGCGTGGAACTGGTACTTGGCACAATGGGGATTTTCTCCACGCCTTCCTCCTTCGGCTTGGCCGTAAGGGCCAAGGTGGAGGCAGCTGAGGTAGAGGCGTCCTCTTCCAGAGCAGAGTTTGGCGTCGTCTCCGGAGTTTCTCCGGAATGCTGAGAGCCCGCTGGAGAACTCCGACGCGGTGCTTTCGGCCTGCCCTCGTCATCCGTGTCTTCCAGGCTCTCCATTTCCAACTGGAATGTCTCCGTTTTCTCTGAAGATCCGGCATCTCGCAGTGCCTCTTCCCCTGCTTCGAAAGCTGACGCTGCTCGCCCTCCCTGAGACTTTGTGGTTGCATTGCTGTAATCGTCGGCTTCCAGGCTGCTCGATTTGGCTTCAGGCGGGCCTTCGGCGTCCACGCCGTCGCAACTGTCCCCTTCGGAGCTGTGGACTGCCCTGCTGCTCCGAGCAGAAGGAGAGTCGCTTGTCCCAGCCTGGCTCTGCCCTCCAGCTTGGATCTCTTCAATGAACAGCTCTCGGCGAATGCGAGATCTACAAAGTGGCCCAGGTTAAAAAAAAAAAAAAAGGAACAAGGTAAGGAGGGTGCCCATCCATCCATAAGATGATACGATTGTATCCAGCCCCACGACAAGTTTATGAGACAGGTTAGGTTGCGTGTGAAAGACCGAGCCCAGGGCTGCCCAGTGAGGTTCATGGCTGAGCATGGATTTGAACCCAGATCCCCCAAACCCAGTCCAACGTGCTAAACGCTGCACCACATAGATAAGGAATGTGTGTCCCATCATATCATTCAGGAACTCAAGCTGGCACAGATGGAGGGAGGAACATGCTCCGTTTCTATCCTTGCTACAAACTTGAGTGGTAGGCTAGGCTCACAGACAATTATGAGCCCACCGACTTCCCTTCAGTCCCAGTTCAAATCATCTGGCTGCTATATTATGGGGTAAAAGCCTATGAGTTGAACCCTGAGTGGGGTCTAAAAGGTATCGGCTAGACATGCTTCCAAGACGACCTTGCAAACTGGAGACTAAAAAGGCCATTTTCATATGTGCTTGGGAGTTGGGCAGAAGTTTGCCCTCCCTGGAGAGAGTGGGGTGTGTGTGTTTCTACCCACTTAGAAATACTTAAAATGATAGTTCATGGTTGTTATCCTGAATTGGTAATACCATTTTATACAGGCAAGGAATCCACACTCTCTTTGGCTCATCCATCCCTCTCAAGAATATCAAGACATCTAATCTTCCCCTAATTTTAACCCAGAAATATCCATTCATAAACAAGGATATTCAGATACAGTATAGCTCTGATGACCAGGCAACAGGATGGTTACATCCACCTTGCTCCGCTTTTAAGTTAACCACTGTTAGGCGAGTGTTGACTAGATGATTCCCTTTTTCTGATCTAATGAACAGATGAGGGCGCCTTTATTCCTTAGCAATATGTAATCGTCCAAAGAGGATTGGACCTTATGCTTACACACACCCTTCCCCATGCAGTCTGGGCACTCGGGGACTCCTTGGAACTGGCAAAGAATGGTTTGTACTAAGCTGGTTCTTCCATTTCCAGTTGTGATTTGGAAAGCAAATGCAAACCAGAGTTTGAATCAAAAGGTAAACTATGGTTTGGGCTCAACTGGAAGTAATTTAGTTTAAGCACTAAATTGACTCCAAGTGTTATTTTTGGGCAGGAACGGACAGGAATGGAATTCCGGCTGGCTCCCAAGTTGACCACGCCCAGCAGGAACTCATTAGCATAATAGGCCACACCCAACAGCAGAAACTCATTAGGATTGGCTACGTTAGGGTTGTGTGGCCTAACATGCAAAGGAGTTCCTGCTACAAAAAAGCCCTGTGTTTGGACATCAAACAAGGTAAACAGAATAAGAAACAAAAGGTGGGTGTGGCTGGATGAGCACACTTCTGGTAACATGGGGGTGCGGCCTACTGTGCTAATGAGCTGTGCTGTCAGGGGTGTGGCCTAATATGCTAATGAGTTTCTGCTGTTGGGTGTGGCCTATTATGCTAATGAGTTCCTGTTGGGCTTTTTCTACAAAAAGAGCCCTGGGAACAAGTAAATATAAGGATGGTCCCCTGTCCTACAAACCATGATCTGGCTGCCCTGGAAGTGGTGCATGAGAACGGTGTTGTTGATGCTGGTTTTATGGGCAGAAATAAGACAGATCTATTAGATCATCTAGCTCAGGGTCCCCATACCTTTTTGAGCCTGCATACACTTTGGGAATTCTGATCCAGGGTGGTGAGTGCAGCCACAAAATGGCTGCCATAGGGGGCAGAGTCAACCACAGAATGTCAGGGAGAAACACTAACAGGCACTCTTAAATAGAGGGTCTGCCTCACGTGTTGAAGAGGATGCATTTTAAAAGGAACAAATTGTTTTAGAAGATCTGCTTGCCTACACACAGATGACTTTCAGTAACGCAGTAAAGATCTTCTTTTTGGTATTTTTGCATTTTTGTGTGTGTGCGCACACCCGTGCCTGGAAGTCATGCTGACCTCTGGCGACTCCTACTGGGGCATGGAGGACGTTCAGAGAAGTGGCTTGGTCGCCTACCTCTGGCCTCCTGGCCCTCGTATTCTCTGGAGGTCTCCCATTCAAATACTGGCCAGGGTCGGCCCTACTTAGCTTCTGAGATCTGACAAGATTGGACTTGCCTGGGCTACCCAGGTCAGGGCTTGCAGTAAAGTTCTTTATGCTGCGGTGGCAGCTGCTGCTGAAGCAACTTCTGTAAAATCTGCACAGCCAGTCAGAAGCCCTGGTGGGCAATATCCCCATCTGTCTCCACCTGACAGACATGGTGGACACTAGGAAAGGTGCTGACGGGCGCCGTGTTGCCTACGAGCGCCACGTTGGAGACCCCCTATCTAGCTGGGGATGCCAATACAGAGCTGTGTACTGTACCTATAGTTGTGAAACCAATTAATGACGGTGCTGGTCTTCAAGTTGAGCTGGGTGGCGAGTTCCTCAATGGTTTTTGGAGATGGGTATGGCTTTTGCTGATAGGCTCGCTTCAGAGCTTCCTTCTCTTCCGGGGCCAGCACGACGCGGGGTTTCTTCAGCTGATGCTGTGGTTGAGGGCTGGCCCCCTGGCTGTAGTCTATTCCGGCTGAAGAAGACTCGGAAGGCTGGCTGTCACTGACTGAGCTGTGCCGTCGTTTCATGTATGCTGAAAGACAGGGGAAGTCACAAGGTCAGATAAAAAGCGGCAGCGCCCCAAACTTGACAAAACAGCAAGAGTGGCTCCTTCTGGGCAGCCGGGAACAGGTGAAAGCATGAAGTAGACTGGTCCTAAATAGGCCTTGGTCCACCTAGCCCAGTAATGTCTATTCCCAGATCTGAGGTAGGGGTTCTTTCCCAGACTTAGGCTGCCCTGCCAAGTCGCAACAGACTCACAGTGATCCCACCTCATGGGGTTTACAAGGTAAGAGATGCGCAGAGGTGGTTTTGCCACTGCAGTCTTCTGCACAGCAGTCCCCATCTTCCTCGGTGGTCTCCCATCAGAATACTAACCATGATTGATCCTGCTTATCTTCTGAACTCAGTCTGGCCTATTAGGGCTGCTACAGACCAGCTGCCTGAAATCTTTCAGCTGGCAATGCCAGGGCTTGAACTGGGGGGGCCTTGCACAGTACCGAGCTGTTCCTCCTTTTGTGACCCAAAGAATGACACAGACACCCCCTTCGGTTCTCAAGAAACCAATGCAGTTGGTGCTTTCTGATCTGCCGATTCACATCCAAGTAAGTGCCACCTTTTCTCCACAGTTTGACTGTCGCCAGTGGCCAGTGCCCCCGGACTCTGCCCTAGTTTTATTTACTATTTCGGGGTCCGAAATGCTTTCCAGTTGCAATCTCATTTTATCATGTTACACATGGAATGTAAGCAAAAAGAGGAATATATGCGGCCAGGGGGAGAAAGAAGAGAATGCAACAGGGGTGTGTGCATCAGGGATTAGGGAAGGAGATGTGTGTGGTGCATGGATTTCATGCATCTCATTAACTGGTGGACCACGGGAGCAGCTGTCACAGGTGTGTGTGGTTCTCTGTCCTCTGCGTTACAGAAAACGGATGGGAGAATTCAAGCAGTCAGTTTGGAAGCTTCAGGGAATGTGCCTTGCAAGAATTCTCTGGAGGGTTTTGTTTTCATGACATCTGAGGTATGAAGTTGCCCAGAGCTTGTCTTTGGGCACAGACCAGCAGAAAGCTCTTGTGAGCAAGCACCCATAGAAATGAAATGAAAAACTGATAGGCTTGTGTGGGCAGCAATTCGTTTCAATGGGGGCTCAAGCAGGAAAACGCCCCACCTGAGCGTTACCCATTGTTTTTGGTTGATGGTCAGCGAGGACAGCCCTAGCCCCCTTCCCCCACCAAATTTAACAGCCCAGTTTGTGCACTGACCTTACATTTTAAGTAACTGTGCTTTTGGCTTAACTTGTCCAGAAGAAAGAAAAGATGTATTCTCCAATCGGCACAGTTATATAAATGGGGAGGATTTGCCTGATTCAAAGGACAAGGTTTGGTGCGAACCTTCAAAGCCCTATGCAGCCAGGGACCCACATATCTTCAGGACCGCCTCTCCCCATATGTGCCCTGCAGAGCCTTACGCTCCAGCGATCAACATCTTTTAGCTCTCCCCGCCCGATGGACGTCTGGTTAGCCTCGACCAGGACCAGGGCCTTTTCAGCCCTGGCCCCTGCCTGGTGGAAAAAAGCTCCTCCTTGAGATCAGGGCCCTGTGGGATCTGTTACAATTCTACAGAGCCTGTAAAATGGAGCTGTCTGTTGTTGATTATGACTGCAGACAAGGAAAGCCAAGCTTTGCCATCAAGCCACTGGCTTGCTCTCTGCTGTGCCTCAGTGCCACCAGCATAGGCAGATGGAAGATGTAGCTGTAACTAAAAATCCAGAAAGGGCCAGGTTACATTAATAGCTAATAGAGCTCTACCTGGTCCTATGAACTGCTCTCTGTCCTCTGCAACATTGAAAATCGGTTGATTAATCACTTGTGCCTTAATTAATTGGCAGATGATTTTAAAACGCAGTGGAATTGATAAAGGAATTCTTCTTTTTTAGGCTATATCGTTTTAGTTTAGGTTTACTCAGAGCTATTTTGGGGCAGGAACGCACAGGAACGGAGTTCCGGCTGACTTTAGGGTTGGTCACGCCCACTACAGCCAAAACCTCTGCGTGCATGGCTACAGAGGGAAGGCCTGGAGAGCGACCCCTCCCAAGGAACTCCAAGGCAGGTGGGCCAGGGGGGCCCCTGGAAGGATCAGGGAGGCATTTAAATGAGTTCCTGCTGGGCTTTTTCTAAAAAAAAAAAAAAGCCCTGGGTTTACTATGGAAGCAAGCCATTCTTTCCAGTTAAACTTTCGCTTTGCTTTTGTTTACTGCATAATTACACTTATATTGCACTTTGGAATCTTCAAAAAACTTCACATACATTATATTGTACTCCTTGCAACTTTCTAGGGTAGGCCAGTTTTATTACTCTCACGCTACACAAGGGAAAGAGAGTGGCTTGTCAGGGCACTTTCACAAATGCTAAATAATACACTTTCAGTTCCCTTCCAATGCACTTTAGTGATGGTCTGCAAGTGGATTTTACCGTTTCACACAGTAAAATCCAGTTGCAAAGTGCACTGAAAGTTCAGCATGTGTGAAAGTACTCTAGCAAGTGCACATCGGAAGCAAAATTCAAACCAGGAACTTCCTGGTTCAGAACCCTGTCTTCTAGCTACTGTGCTATCCTGCTCTTAAATACATTCTGAGATCTCTTGTGCTGGGTCAGGAAGCATATTCACAGTTGCTGAGTCTTTCAAGCAGCAAAAAGCGTTGTGGACAATTTGATCACGAGAGGGCGCTGGAGACTTGTGGAATCTTAGCATTGGCACCCTCTGTCCTTAACAGGAGGTGTCTGCTGAGATTGTCTCACGGTGATCAATAAATGCAAGGCAACCCAGGATCGGGGTGGAGGGGGAACAAGCACCCCCACCCCATTCCGGAGTCCGTGTTGATCAGATTGGCCTAACTCCTCTTCTTTTCGATTCCGACGTGCACGCAAAAGGCTTCTTTTGTGCACTGTTTTCCGGAAAAGCTACACTGCAGCATAAGAATAGCCCTGGCTGGCCACCCGTTCCTTCTTCCAGGTGCTCAGGGAAGGGGAAGGGAATCACAGGGTAAGCATGGACCAACGCAAGGGATGGGGCAACACTATGGGTATCTAGCTCCGAGGGAGAGAAAAGTCTTCCCTTCAACCCAGCATTCAAGATTCTTGAACCAGAAATGTTGCCAGGGACTGGACAAGGGATCCTTCGCATGCAAAGAAGATGCTCTACTAATAAACCACCGGCCCATTCCCTATAATGTCATGACAATAATTTGTGATCTATGTCTCTAGAGCTCCCAAACCTGCCCTTAAATTGAAGCTCGGTCATGGTTTATTCATTATGAGAATGAGCCTCGGAAGACCTTGGGCCCCCATGATACCCAAGACTCCCTGGTTCCTGAGGAAACTGCATTGTTGAGACCTCTGTGTTCTAGAACAGGGGTGTCAAACATGCGGCCCGGGGGCCAGATCAGCCCCCCGGAGGGCTTTTATCAGGCCCACAGTGGAACTGGCTGTCTTCTGCTTCTTCCAGTTCTGCTGCTGCTGCGTCACTGTAGGTTTGCAGCTTACAGATACACACCTGAACAGCATACTCAAGATTGCAACAGCACAGACATTTTGATGCAATAATTCAGAGCAAGAGGTGTCAGTTATCAGACACTGTTAAATAAACGAAATATTGCAAGAGTGCTAATGTTTGAAGCATGCTTTTATTTTAAGTTAAAAAAAACCTTTGTGTTTGTGTCCTTTATAAAGTTTATATCTCCACTACCTGGCATGACATTTTATGACACACCTGGCCCGGCCCAACAAGGTCTCATTTATGTCAGATCCGACCCTCGTACCAAATGTGTTCGATGCCCGTGTCCTAGAAGGTGGCCTGTTCACTTGCCTACAAACCCAGCTTCCAAACTGGTTCACCATTTTGGCCAATGTGGACATCACAATGAACTGTGGTTTCTCCAGGAAGCCTCTGATAACCAAACAGCACATGAAGGACGTGCCCAGAAAACTCTGGAGGCTCCTTGTTTTCTTATGCCAAACAAGCTGCACCTGAATGAAGCTTTGGTGTTAGGAGAAGTAGAAAGAGGCTACATTCAACGAGTAGCAGAACACTTCTTTTCTCAGCAAAACCAGGAAAACTGAATGAAGGCAGGTATTGGCTAAACTGGTCTGGATCTTGCTGATAAATGGGGAAACCTCCCACAGACAGCAACTGGCCAGCATCAGAAAACTCTTTTCAGGAGTGCCACAAGCACACAGCAAAACGAAAGCCCGGGTTTGCTGGCGCCCAAAGGAAAGATACCTTTCTTCTCCATGCGCTTCATGTCCATGAGTTTCTCCACGTTGTTGGGGTCATTCAACCACACCTGCATGCGGACAAAGGGCTCCCTGCCTTTCAAGCTCAGCTTGTGCCAGGGCTTGGGGCGAGCCAGCAGGTCCGAGACCGAGCCTTGCGTGAGCCCCAGGATTGTCTCCCCAAACAGACGCTGACCTGCAAAGAGAGGCAAACCTCAAATGTAGTCGATGCCAAGGACGGGTGCAGCAATAAGAAAGGGGACATGAGCAAAGGCCAGAGGGTCAGGGTGGGGGACAAGGTCTTTGCACGTGGTGCCGGTTAAACTGTTTGGCCTGGCCCAGAGAGAAGTGACATGGGCCACCCTAAAAAAGTGGTGAGTGGTCTCTAGGGAAGGCGTCAGATTCCTTGGAATCCCTTTTATGTACTGATTAAGAGTGGCTCTACAGGGCCTGCTTGGCTCTGTGGACTTTACCACAGGAGAATG